ACTCAGGTAGCACCCACACGACATATTCCAAAAATAGAGTATTCTTATTTGTTGAATGTTGTGCGTGTGCAAACACAATCAACAGCTGCTCAAGTAAACCTTTCTATTGTTCTAGCTGGGGTTCATTGTTGCTCAACGGCAGACGACTTATTATGGGCAACCTTATTTAAAGACAATCATCTTACCGAATGTTCCACAGATTTAAAAGGTACTTCCTAGGTTCATATATCTTTCGGACAGGACAGTGTAAGGAGCGCACGAACCAATCGGGCATTTCAGCAGCTGCCAGCGAGTGAACGGGATATGGAGTAAGAGTGTTTCTTGCTTGAATTCCTTTATGATACAATGGGGATGAAAAACGACGACAAGACATTCACGTTTATGAAAAAACTAAAACTTTATTCTGGTTGTTGTTGTTGACAGAATTATCAGGTCTAGATACAGTTTACTTCTTGGCCTTCTTGGTATCAGCCTTGGCGCCCTCTTCGCTCTCAGCTGCCTCCTTGGCGCGCTTAGCGCGAATGCCAACCAAACGAGCATCAGTACGTGCCTGTAAACAATAACAATGTTGATTAATAAATAAACAAACTACTTATCATAAACAATTAATATACCTTGCGCAGAGTAGCGAACGCCTTGAACTTCTTCTCATCCTTAGTAACCTCACGGAACTCAACAACTGGCTGCTCCTTCTTAAGGGGCATAATGGGTCCCTGGAGCTGTGTGGCCAGCTTGCATTCCTCAACAGTAGATTCGCCCTTGCGGATCTTCTTCTCATTGATGGGGAACAGAATCAGTTTGCTTCTGTACTCCTTCAGGCGCTGAATGTTACGCTGACGAGACTCCAGCGACTTGTTCTTGCGACGACGATCGACAGCAATGCCAATGGTCTTGGCGAAGGCTTGGCTCAGACCAGCACCCTAAGTGTACAAATTTTAAATCAGTTTTAATTCATAGAAAGTTTAAAATAACACACGCACCTTCAGTTCCTCAATGGTGAATCCACGACCGGTACGCAATTTTGTGTGGTAGCGGATGGTCGGGCAGCGCACAACTGGACGCAGGGGACCGCTGGCAGGGCGTGGGAAGGCAGCCTTGGCTTTCTTAACGCGGTTCTCGTGCCTGCGGATCTTGCGCGCCGGCTGGTTGAACCAGGTGCGCACATGACGCTGCCACCACTTGTGGTAATGCTGGTTTGGAATCATATTGTTACCCTTACCCATCTTGGCGGTTTAGTTTAGCTGTCACAGAGATAAAGTAAAAATACACAAATTAATACACATTCATATATAATGGGTTTGTATTATAACCAAATTGCGGGTGCGCACACCACGTGGCTGGCATATATTTGCATGTTTCAGGCGTTATGGAATCATTTTTCCCACATATTCAAGTGTTAAGTCATAGCCTATTAGGCGCTACACCCTTTAATCTATTAATCGCTTTATATTCCGCGTCACTGCTTATCTAAATATATTAAATTCTGTGCGTTGTAAAATTCCACACACCTTTTGCTACCCAACAACGAATCAAAAAGAAAATCGCAGCCAACTTCACGTCATGAGCATACAGTAATAAAAAATTCCCTCGAAAAACTTCCCTGGCTGTCGCAAAAATTTCCCCAGCTATCGATTGGTGATGCAATCAGTGTTAACAAAAATTCCACACAGTTTACATTTTTCCGCTGCCCGACGCTAAGTAAATGTCAAACGCGCAGCAATAATTATATGTCTAACAATTAAAAATAAATAACTTACAAGTTCTGCGCATCAATTACATAGAATACGCGCATTAGCCTTATCGATTGGCTACTCTGTCGCGTGGCAACTCTGAACTGTACTTTCTGATACAGATAAAAAAACTATTGACTATTGAACTGACTATCTATAATCGAGAAATTGCGCGCTTATTTTTTTGTGGCATCGGTAATCAGATATCAATAAACAGCCAAGAACTCAAAAATGGACGGAGTGGCCAGTTCGCCAATGGTTGTTGAAGCCAAATACGAGGATGTCTCGCAGCTCAACTTTTCCAAGCTGTACTCGCCTAAAATGAAAAGCGTCTATTGGCGCTACTTTGGCTTTCCATCGAACGATAATGACGAGGTAATTACCAAGCAAAATGTTGTGTGCATCAAATGCCACAAAGTGCTGACCAATCACGGTAATACCACCAACTTGCGTGCGCATCTGCAACATCGCCACAAGGACCTTTTCAAGGCCTTGTGCCAGGAAAACGATATACAAGTGCCGCCGCGCAAGACTCCTCGCAATCTAAACCATCCCCCATTGTCTAAGCGCAACGTCTCATCACGCCGCGTCAAGTTAGAGTTCATTAACAATCGCACTCACCACGAGAACGATGAAGACGAGGACATGGACGAGGCAGCTGTGGCCGCAGCAGCCATGCAGGCCGAAGATGATGCCGCCTCCCAGACAATGCTATACGAAACCATGGTACCGCTTACCTATGACGACGCCGAAAACCTGGTCGAAGAGGAAGATCGCTCAATTAGTATTGAGCCCCGCGAGCTGAAGTATGCGCGTAAGCGCAAAAGTACAGCCCCGTCTGGAACTATGCACTTTACGCGCGCTAACATTAAGCACGAGGAGGGCACTGGGGGTATGCAGGTGCGCAGCTATATAACCAATTTACCAGAGGCCCTGGCCGACATAGTTGTGCGTGATCTGCGCAATGTGGAGACCCTATACGATCTGGGCATCAGCGAGTTCATACGTCTGGCCATGGGCAACTTGCCATCGCTGCCCATGCCCCAAAAGATTGACGCCCTGATTAACGAGCAGCATGCATCTAAGTTCTTGGAAATCGGCGATTTCACGCGCGACTTTACTGCCGAGAAGCCCTACTCGCTGGCCTTCGAGCAGTGGATGAATGTGGAGCAGCGTCGCTTCCTCAGCGTCTACCATCACTACTTGAGTGACGAGACGCAGTGCGTGCGCAGCGTCATGTATGCCACCATCGAGTATACTGACTACATCTCATTCGACGAGCTGCTCGCCGATTTCTATTTGCCCAATTGCACACTGGCCATCGTGAACTATGACGATGAGGAGGATCTGCTGCAGACCTATTTGAAGGAAAAGCGTGAGTACAACATAATCTTGCTGCAGCTCATAGTACTAGGTGTGCTCCACGAGCAACTGACCTATGTACCTAAACATTTCGCTAGACCCAATAAGCTAAATAAAAAGAACTTTTTGGGGTGCCGAATATAAAATACCCTCACACTGTTTTCATACGAAAACTGAACTTTAAAACGTACTGTTCACAAATCGGATCACATGTTAATACCGATCCAAAAAATGTATAAAGTATGTCAGCCTCTACGTGAGGGTATAAGGAATTAATGTGTACTTATTTGTACATTGTAGTATTGGGTGTAAGGTATAAGGAATCGCCTATCAAACAGTCTATGTAGCCGCTTATTTGTTGTAAATGCCCATTCTTCAGACTATATATGTTACATTGTTTAAACATCAAACAGATATACCCGTTGTGCTCTGCTATGTGTCGGTAATTGACAAGTGCCTGCGGCACGTCTTTGAACTGGAGGAGGTTGCCACGTCCTTGGAGCAGGTGAAGGACATTATACAACGTCACTCGGCAGAAATTAGTTCTAAGGTGTCGGAGCTGCCGGCTTATAATGAACATTTCCCTTGGACTCTGTACGAGCTACTCAAATTCTTTGCCGAATCTATATCTTGGTCAGAGGACATGGATCAACTTGTCATCACGGCCAAAACTGTGACCGAAGCGTTAAGCGCTCTAGTGGTAAGTTATAAGTCCATTAGCTACTCGAGCGAAAAAAAAAAACAAATTCTCTTTTTTAAATCAGATTGCACTAGATACTTTGCGAGGCGAGGACATGCCTCTGTGCAGCATGCTGTCTCCCATAACATCAAAGATTTTAATTAAGAAACTGGGCATTGCGGAGCAGGATGAGCCCCTAATGATGAATATCAAGCGCACCATTGCGGGTGTGCTGCAATCACAGATTATAGCCAATGATACGCTGACCAGCGCTGCGCTGCTTGATCCGCGATTCCATCGTTTAACCACAATTGAAAACCTTGACAGCTGTGTGCGTATGCTAACACAGAAATACAACAAGACGTTCGGCGGCTCGGTTGGCACAGACAGTCAGAGCGGGGATTCGGCTGATGTGGCACCCACTGCACCCGTCAACGCTCCAACAGTAACCATTAAAACGGAGCCAAATGTCAAGTCTGGCAGCAGCTCGTCCGCCGCAGCTGCTACCTCGCACAGTGCGAAGAAATCTAGTAAGTCGAATTTGCTAAATACTGCAGCAATAGTTAGATTAATTTAAAACGAATTTTCGCTAGAACTGGAACTGCTGTTTGACGTTGCAGAGATACCAAATCCGCCAAAGCGAGACGCCGACAGCACTGTGGAAACTGACCTCAAGCGTTATCGTAATGAGGTGATTGTACAGCTGGACGAGTCGCCCATTGAGTGGTGGAACAAAATGGGCCATATCTATGGAACGCTACGCGACTTGGCTACACTATATCAGGGAGTACCTGGTGTGGTAAATTTGAATTTCAAGAAGGTGTTGCGTGAACAGATTTATGACTACAATAAGCGATTTATGCTAACTGGTAGCCAGAATCAGATCGATGCGATATTGTTTTTGAACCGTAGCAGCAGCTTAAAGGACACTATATATGTTTAATAGCTTTTAATGTTTTTATCTGCATGGGATATGCATATATGTAATTCTGTAATTCTTTAATCTTTAATTAAAATACATATACAATATCAAAAGAAAATTAAATATTGAGCAGTGTGAAATTAGTGTCGAATGTTAAAATTTGGGGAAATTATTACAGAAATGTTATTACAATAAACAATAAAGTATAAGGTACCAATAGCAACTCTGCTCGCGTCAGTGTTGAAAAATTATGCAAAAGACGACGATTTGCAGCACTTGAAAGTTTTCGGTACTGCCAGACAGTTAAAAGTTTCCCCTTATCAAGCTATTGTCACTACACAGAAAACGCAAGTTTCTTAATAGTTAAAATTTCCATACTAGAGCTTAGCTTAAATTGTGTTGTGTGTGTTGAAAATCAAGCGATAGCAACGATGTGCGTTGGGCGCTTGCAAACAGTGCGCGGGTGTAAAAGACGTGCCATGTAAAAGCCTGAGAGGGACACAAACGTATCAAACAAAACCGACATCCAACAATAACGGGGCGGCGGCAACAATAACAACAACAACCACGTCTTTTCCGCTACTGCTGCTCTAGGGCTTTGTCTTGTGACGAAAGCAAAACTCGAAACATTTCTTCAAACACACAGCCAACACAAAATTTATGTGCAGGATGTGCCGCCTCGACATACGCCGCTTCTGCGAAGAGTGGCGCATCTGGATACGTCCGCTGTTGATCATCACCTATGCGATATTTGCGATCATTGTGGTGCCCCTGCTGATTGTGAACTCGGTGAAGGATGGCTTCCAACAAAATGACCAGCTTATACTCATCGGCGGTCTGTTCGTTCTTTCCGCGGTGCCCATTTCCATTTGGCACATCATACAACACGTCATACATTTCACAAAGCCCATTCTACAAAAGCACATAATACGAATACTGTGGATGGTGCCCATCTACGCTTTGAATGCGGTAAGTGGGCCAATCGAAGCGGTTGAAATCGAGACCCGTAATCGAATCTTGTCCAATTATTGTTCCACATTGCTCGCATTGAAGTCATTGAAATTCGAATTTGAATTTGTTTACAGTGGCTCGGCCTGCTCTTTCCCAAGCATTCCATCTACGTTGACTCGCTGCGAGAGTGCTATGAGGCATACGTAATCTACAATTTCATGGTTTATTTGTTGAACTACTTGAATCTCGGCATGGACCTGGAGGCGACGATGGAGTACAAGCCGCAAGTCCATCATTTCTTTCCGCTCTGCTGCATGCGACCCTGGGTCATGGGTCGCGAGTTCATCCACAATTGCAAGCACGGCATATTGCAGTACACTGTGGTGCGGCCCATCACGACATTCATCTCGGTGTGAGTATGATAATGTATAAAATGCCACGTTGCAATTCAGTAAAAACAATGAAAAGCTCTCTTCGGAATGTAGTATATTGAATTAAAATTAAATGATCCACAAGTTATTTTGCTTGGCACGCTTAGGGGGAAATCAATAAGAATAGGAGAATTAAATAAATAGTAAGGATTACAAAGTATAATAATAAATAATTGCAATGCTTATATAATTTAATTTATTTTTTAAAAAATGATATCAAATTCGAATATGGAAAACTAAACTCTTTGTTTTAAAATTTTATTATGTAGCATAGAATAGTTGAATATGTTCCAAGGTTAAGCTGGGGCATTTGTGGGAGAACAATAATATTTCGTTATCTGTAGATGTTAAACAAATTAGAATAATGTCTTACTTTTTAATCGGCACAGCATTTGCGAACTGTGCGGCGTTTATGGCGAGGGCGAGTTTGCCGGAAATGTAGCCTTCCCCTATATTGTGGTCATTAACAATATCTCACAGTTTGTGGCCATGTACTGCCTGGTGCTTTTCTATCGGGCGAACAAAGAGGACTTAAAGCCGATGAAGCCCATACCAAAATTTTTGTGTATTAAGGCTGTTGTGTTCTTTTCGTTTTTGTAAGTACTTAAGCAATACTCATATTTAAGTAAGACTCTAATCTCTTATTTTCCCCTCTTTTAGCCAAGGAGTGCTGCTCAATGCGCTGGTATACTACGGGATTATAAAGGGCATCTTTGGTGATGTTGGTGATGCAAATCTAGCGTCTATGCTGCAAGTAAGTCTTTGATTGCATATCTGATCGGGTTTCTATAAAGATATTTCTCTTGTTTATTGTTTTGTTTGTTTTTAGAACTTTCTTATATGCATAGAGATGTTTATTGCTGCCGTGGCTCACATTTACAGCTTTCCGCATCATCCATTCCACATTAATTCACCACAGTATTGGAACAATCCAAATCACAGCTGGTGTCGAGCCTTCCTCTCTATGATGGACATCTCGGACATGCAGGAGGATGTTACTGAGCACTTGGGCGTGGTCAGCAGCTCAATTAGTCGCCGTTTTCAGGGTCGCAGTACATACCAGCCGCTGGCGCGGGGTCCACGCCGTTCTAGCAGCGAGTCCGAGTACTTAATTGGCAAGCGGCAGGAACAGCCGATGTTGGGGGGTAACGTCGCACAAGCAGGTAACAGCAATGCCTCATATGGCGCCACAACGAGTCGGTTAATTGTGCCCGTTAATGTTGGGCCACTGGGTACACTAACTGAACACCAAACTCATTCCCCATCTCGATTTCCCATAGCAGGCACCGATGTGGCTGATGATAATAGCAATATCAACAATTACCAACAACAACAACTGCATTTGCCGGGCTCCAATCTGAAACTGTCGGCGCGCCAACGCGATACAAACCAGCATCTGCGCGAACGGGATCAGCAGCATTTTCTCGGTGGCGTTGGGCCGCCACAAGCCGGTGGCAGCAGTTTCCTGCAAGCGCGTACTGCTGCTTCCGCAGCGGCCCCGATACCAGAGTCCAACGATGATTATGCACTGCTGCTGGGCGCGGGCAGATGACAACGCTATCAGCATCAGCACATTGATGTGCTCGAGGATGGGGACGATGTAGAAGTTAGTCAAAATTTGAATGCCTCATCGCTGAGTGCATCGCTGTCCGTTTCATTTGGCATGTCAAGCAGCTTAAAATTCAGCGCCACGTGCAGCAACCAAACTGCATCCGAGTGGTCCAACTCAACGGGCGGGGATGATGACAACGATGACGACGACGACGACGATGACGACGATGAGGACGATGACGATGACGATGATATAGTAGAGAATGGAGAGAATGTTGAACAGATGCCGATTGTGGTTGTGGCATCGACGACGCGACGTCGACGAGACAGAGAGTACATCACCTAGACCCATTTAAAATTGAAGCAGCTCTATTTATTCTGTTTATATAGCTTATCAGTTATTTCGATGCCTCACTCAATTATTATTTGGTCACTCGATTGGCAAACATAAATTCCTTTGTAATTAAGCTTAATACTCACATATAGCTTACTCTTCTGGCAACCCAATCAAATTGGGAAATTCTAAATTGCGTGGCCTTAGTTTTGAATGCGAAAGCAACAACTGATTTTATAAAATAGCTGCATATATAATCGATTTAGAGATTCATTCAATTCCAACGAATCTTCATTAAACATATGTAAATCTATATGCAAAGGGAAGCGATAGTTTTTTTTAAACATATATATATATATTTAGAGATTAGGCTCGAACGTTTTATACATTCAACTTCAAAATCATAGGCAATTATAAATTCTACGAAAATTATACACTTATACAAATATACAAATGCAGATAGTTATACACGACGCTATGGTGACTGTCAGTAGTTTGTACTTTTATTAGGCTAGTAAAACCCCGAACTCCCTATTTGTACTCGTATGTTGCTTAGTAGATAAATTGATACATACCCTTAAAGCAAAAGATTGTGAATGAAGTGACTGCCGGTCAGAAAAGGGCGTAACTTATATTGAAAACATATATTGTATATTAATTTATGTAATTCTCAATAATATAATTATGCAAATTCTTAAATGATGTATTTTTTTCGTTTTTTATAATTTCAAATAGTTTTATTGGTATTTTTTATTTAAAAACATTTTTGGTTTCTATTATTCTATTCTGATATTTTCTATATAATTTTATTTTTTCAACTTCCAGTAAGAAAAATACTAAACGGTTTTGAATGTGCGGTTGATTTGCCTTTTTTATTTTTGTGCTATTCATATTTCTCTTGAACCATACATTAGTAATTTATACTATTACTTCACGTTACAAGAAAGAGAATTTATATGTTATATTTTTAAATTTGCCATTTTTATTTACAGCTTTTAATACAGAAATTTTTAAATTGCCAAGATACCAAAACATTTAAGCAAGGATGTTTGTATCTACACTTAGCATCTACATTTCCGTTGAATTTCCTTCAAGATGCATAGCATCAAAGAGTTGTCTGTGTGACTCTTATACATGACAATATAATAGACCTGTACTGTTGCTGTCTTTTGAAATAGTACGAAAGTAAAATATATTTTAAGAATTAATGGATAATTAAGACTGGGATTCTTTTTGGATATATTCAATGGGTCAATTGTCTGAACTTGTATTATTTCAGACTGGAATACCCACCCAAAAAATAATGTTCATCATTTTGCATTTGATTGTTAAAACTTTATTTCTTGCCATATACATAATGATATCATTTTTAAGCAACGCAGCAAGTAATGGCTTTTTTATCAAACTCATGCTCTAGCAGATAAAATCATGAATCATTGTAAAAAGCGTACGTATAGTATGAATGAGTGTGGAAAATTTATCAACTTTTGAAGTGCTTGGCTGATAAGCCCCATACATTTAATTAAACGGTTCCACCAAATCAGCGCCCAGCCATAAAAAGATTTAAAGCCTTTTTTGCAACATTTGATTATGTTTATTATTTTAAGAAAATTTTGTCTTTTCATAATACTTGCATTCTAAGATTAGAACAAATAGAAAAAGAAGAAATAGAAAGAAAAACTAAATTACCTGACACTTAAAAATTGCAAAAACAAGCGGACGATTAGAAAAAACAAAATACAGAACTGGTGACAAGGACGACGCTTTTAACTACAAGCAAAAGCTTAATCGAATAGTATAATTAAAATGGCATTACGACACATAACGTTAAAATATATATCAAATCAAATCCAATTGAATTGCCGTTGAACATAGGAAACCATGAAACAAAATTCGTTAATTAAACAACATAAAAATCAAAAAACAATTTCAGTCCAGGGTAGCAAACTCTTGTCGCGCTGCGTGTGAACGAATGACTAATAAGTATCATCGTTTTTAAAAATATTCTTCGTTAATTTTCATCGCGTACTCGAATTAAAGGCACACACCAATTGCTCTCGAATCAATACACGCATCAACAACAACATCAACAGTTGATGCTTTTAGTTGTTGTAGTTCTGCCTGCCGCCCAGCTCGAGAAGGTATCGATCCGGATGATCCATCCAATCGGCGGCTGTTAATTTAACTGTGCGCTGACGTTCCGCCTCCTTGATTTGCCATTTCTTAATATCCAATTGCACTTCGCGTGATGATTTATCGCCGCAGCCCCAAACCTGTAAAACATTGTAGTTTTTGTTGTTGGTAAGATTGTTGTTTATATTTTTGGTGAGGAGAATTTAGACTTCATTCAAATGTACACACACTTTCGCGGCCAAATGTTAGGTCTGGGCTCAAATACCTCTGTAAAAGCTGTTCAAAAGCTTCCAGGCGTAATTGGCTTTGGCTTATCAATGGCTCGAAGTGTTGTTTTTAAATGCTTAGACTGGAAATTATGCCGTTAATATATATACGATATACGTGAGAATACGTCTATGAATTTTTATACCATACATAAGTATTTATATATGTATACTGTGTTGACTAAGGCTTATTGCACATACAAATATAGCAAAAAATATACCATATTATTAATTTACTTACCTCAATGGACATAAGGCCCGCCGCAATGCCCTTGCAGTCTACTTTCTCGAAATGTTCGTCAACCGATATAATGGGCTTGCGCGGATCAGCGCCTGCTCGCAAGCCCTTGGGATAGCCGCGTATGCTGGTGTTAAGGTACAAAATGTTGGGCTTCTTTTCTAGTATCACAAATCTACAACGACAATAGAAAGTAAGTTGTCTCCACTGTTCCTAGAGTTCCCCTTTGAATCGGATCGTGTTTTCTTTTAATTACTTACTTGGGCAGCAGCTGTATCACACAGCTGCCCTCACCGCCGACAAACAAATGCGTCTCCTTCCACTCATTGGGCGCCGCAATGCAATATGTCTGTTCGTCCTTGGTGTGAAGCAGAACCAGCGTCGGACCGCGGTAACCGAGTACATGGTGCAAAAAGCGATTGGCTCCCACCCCATGCTCGTTGGAATCGTACAGTAGTGTCCAGTGTGATGGCATCATTGACAGTTTATCCTTGAAAATCTGCACAGCGCTCGAAGCGCTGCTGTTGTTGCTGCTGTTGGGCGGCGCAATCGTCCGTGGCTTGGAATACAGTGGGGGTAGGGCGCCCGCCAGCAGCCATGCTTGTGATAGCGGCATCAGCGTCTCATTGTTCAGGGGAGGCGCACTGTGATCCGTTGCATCATTGGATGCAAATGGATTCCGCTGTTCCAGCACTGGCGTTTGTAGCTCAATTCCGCACGGCTGAGACTGTTGTTCCAAGCCGCGATATGCAGTGGAGAGCGTATGGACGCAGTATTTGTGCACCAGCAGAACAAGACGGATCAAATTCTGCTCAAACCAACGGCAAACGAAGCCCAAGCTGAGGCTATCGTGGCTGAAAAATATCGACTTGGTCACTGAGCCAAACGTCCTATTTATAGCCGTGCAGAGCACAGCATTCCCGGAGTGTTGCATGGCAATCGTATAGCAGATGAGCAGCAGGCGTGTGACGCCTGCTTTGTCTATCAAATCGGGATTATCGTCCTGTGCGTACATCTTGATATAACTCTCCAGCACCTTCGCATCGTCCATGATGCCCAGGAATCGTTCGCATTGCTGTCGAAAGGCCACGGTGCCCAGGTGCTTCGTTGTTGCCTTAGAGTTCTGGTGCATTAGTTGAAAGAGTCGATGGCCCAAATCAGTGTATTCGGGAAACACTTGAGACTGTGTGAGTTTGTGTGCGTGAAAATAATTGTTTTTAAACTGCTATAAAACTGTTATCAGGTAATTAACTGTGCTTGCTCACCACAAAAACATCTGACATAATGCCATTGATGCCGTACTTGGCACTCGTTTGTTCCTTTAATATTTCAGCCAGGCGCTCCACTGGCACCAGCTGGGTGAGGTACTTTTCTGTCACATCTGCGCCTGATGCTGATCTGGTCATTGTTTGCGTTTGTGACTGCACCTTGAGACTGTTATTGCTGCCGCTGCCGCTGGCGCTGCTATTGCTGTTGCTGACAACAACATCGTTGGCATTGTTATTGCTGTTCGATGATTGTATGCTGGATTTGTGATGTTGATGGTGGTGTTTATGTTTCCCACCGTCCAACGGAGGTTCGCTGCCCTCGCCATCGGCCTTGGCACTCACATTGTTCCCCATTTTACTATGAAGTTGTGATAGTGTTGTGTTCGTGGGTCCAAACTTCGTCGCAATTTAATTGCGAAAAATTTCCTCAATGTTAAAGGGGCAAAAAAAGGCCCAAAAACGCAGGTTTGCTTTGAAACCAGCCAAACAGGTGCAGGGTGAATTTTTTATTAACAACGCCACAGTAATAAACCTGTTATGAAACACACGCTCACACACATAAGTAAGTACTAATGAATCAGTTAAATATATTTACATAATTAACTTTGCTAATAAAAAGATATAAAAAACCCAAACAAAACACAACCACCACCACCAGCTGGGTAATTTTGTTATCGATAACCAGCATAGAGCACTTGCAAATTAAATACTGCCATACTTCCATCCCTAGCTGAATGAATAATAATATGCATGGGTACTGCGGATTTATTGTGATACTGTTATGACTCTGTGACAAACTTTTTTCAACCACATTAAATATGCTATATCGCAGGAAATACAATAAAAAAAAAACAATGTTAGTAACTTCATCAGAAAAAAATAGCCGTTGGTAGTTTAAACTGCGTTTAATAGTTGTTGGTTTTCACTTTGATCAGCTGAGCGAGCAGCTGTTCAAAAATCAGCTGGGCATTTTAAGGCAAGCGCAATTTAAAGTAAAAATATATTTGCGTAGATGCTGTTTTGTACCGTGAACGTGAAAAATTAGTTTTTAGTAACTGTTTTATAAAATTATTACAAGTACCATTTGTTAAAATTGTTGAGAGTATAAGACGAAGGTAGGCAATGGTTGCACCTGTAAACAAACTGCAGACCAGCACAAACTCCGAGGATGATGAACCCTCTAGACCATCCCACGTACATCCCCCGGCTTCCTCTACGCTGCATGGGTCAAGTATATTGCTGGATGCCAACTCGACTAAGCGTAAGAGCGCATTTCTACCATATCGACCTCAGTCGACTGTCCTAACGAATCTGCAGCGCGGTAACACGGAGGCTACATTTTGTACTGTGGAGGTGTCGCTGTCTTTTCATGAACGCGCCGGTCAAGGTGAAATCACGGAAGAGCAGGTAAAGGCCGAGCTACAACGACAGCCACACATTGATTTCAAGGATTCGCACGGATTTACACCTCTCCACTGGGCCGCGTCATATGGCCAATTGGTCTCGGCGCAACTGCTTGTTGCGGTAGGCGCAAACGTGAATAGCCTGGCGCCCGACATGGTTACACCATTGTTGCTTGCAGCCGCTGGGGGTCACAATGAAATTGTGCGTTTCCTTTTAGATCGTGGTGCAATCGCCACACATATGGACATTGTGGGCAATACAGCACTTATGTACGCGGCGGCAGGCAATCATCCGCACACCTGCAATGAGCTGCTGGCCAGGGATCTGGACTTTAGTGCAACTAATGAGAATGGAGAGACAGCATACGCGTTAGCCGTGGAGCATGGTTCGCATCTGGCGCAGGCGTTGTTGGAGCAATATATGACTGCCGTGCTGACGGCGGGTGCATTTGGCAACACTTAGAGAAATATACATGAGATTTATAGAATATATAGATTTAAGAAAGTAACAGTACTGAACATAAGTCAGAACTCAAACATTTTATTTTTACTCTTTCGTTTCTGCTGCTCTTTGCTGAGGCTGCTCTCCTGAGCCTGCAGCGTGGCGAGTTCCTGTTTCTGGCTTTGAAGCTGTGAACTTAACCGTTTTTGCAGCTGCGAATCGATTGCGTTGCGCGACAACGATTGCTGTGTTTTGGCAATGTCCCGCTGCTTTCTACGTATGTCATCGGCTATGCGCACAGTTTCCACATTAAGCGACTTGTTAGTGTGCTGCTGGAGATTGTTAATTTTTGTCGTCTTGGTGGAGCTCTCGGTCCGCTGACTACCCTGGCCCAGCACACTGCCATTGAGAAAGGCAAACACATCTGTCCGTTTCGCCTCCCGTTCGTAGGCCTTTTCATTTGCTGCCTGCTGCCGACGCTGGGCCCGCTTTAGTTTGCGTTCTACACTAAAGTAATCCTTATCGCCATTGGCTGCCTCACGTAGCTCCATGCAGGCGTCAAGCGAGCGGCCCTGTGGGAGTATTTGCGCGCTAACTGGCGTAACAATTCCGCGACCATCCGACCCAAGGCCTGTGCCGTGTATATAACCCATACTGGCCATCAGTTTGGAGCCTATGCCCTGCAATTGAACGTATTAATTTTTTGATTGACATAAAATAAATTTATCTGGGCACTAACACGCGTATACTGCTCCCAGGCGCCCAATCGTTCGTTTGGCTTAAACGTAAACAAGCTAAGCTCCACCATACGTGCTTGACGCGCAGCCTCCACGTCATCCATGTCGGATTCATTCGCTGCATCACTTCCATCGGTTTCATTTGTTTCTTCACTGTCGCTACTTAGTTCGTCATCTTCTTCGGTTATCAACGGAAAAAGTTCCTCAAAAGGAAAGTCCCGCTCACGCTCCTTGTGTTCCTGGCCATCCAAGCGCACGCGACACTGCTGTTCCATGAAGTTTACGCACAACACACGACCACGATGCCACAGACGATCCTGCAGCTTGGCTAGCACTGGACAGTTGCGAGCCAACCTGTGAAAATCTGGTGCATTGTAGTCTTTAATGGCCGCTCCTGGCACTAGAGCTCCATGAGAATAACGACATCGAGTTTCGTCAAATCGACATTCACCATCCAGGTAATAGTTGCAAGGCAACATCTCGCGGTGCGTAGGGTTTGTAAAGAGTACGCGCAATCGTACGTCTAAAATGCCATTTTTATCCAGAATTAATTCATCGTCCACGCCACATATCAGTGCATTATGATAGCTAAGTGCACCCCAGCTATGTTCATGCGGTGCCGAACACTTTTCTCCCAACAGAGCATTGTATTTGGTGCGAAGTTCTTCCAATCGTTGCTGGTCAGCTTGTGAGTCCGTCTTTTCCCCTTCTAAGTTGCTTAACTCACTTTGAAAACGTTTTAGCTCGTCATCGATGTCAGTTGCCTCTGGTGTGTTTGTGTCGTTGGTATCTTCTGCATCGCTACTTCTGGTCAGCGCAAGAAGCTCCTCCAAGTTTGTACGTAGTGCTATTAATTCCTCCCGCTGCTGTTCATCGGTAGTCACGAGCAGCGCCTGCTCAACCACCAGCAACTAAAATGTAGACTATAGGTATCATACGCCACCATCATCTTGTCACACACTCACCTGTGCTTCATATTCGTCCATAATTTATAGCTAAAACATTTTGTTTATATCTGTTTTACAATGGTTTTGTTTTGCCAGTAAAAGCGAAGCGGCGACGCACTTAAGGTTAGTATGCTGCTCAAATAGTGCAAGAATAGGTTTCCCATTGAAATTGAAATTGAGTTCATTGTTAACTGATAAATCCACTTACTTGTCACTAAAAAATAATGTCTTTTGTTTCAAATGTAATTGCTAGGGCGAACAAATGTAAATGGCCACTGTTGTGTGCTCAACAATAAAATTCTGCTAGTGCCACAGCAATTTACTTGCGTACCCGGCTTAAAATGAAATAGTGTTGGGAAACTTGCCAGTTGTGTTGCACAACTCAACAAAATAGTTCACTGCTTGCAACGGGCGCCACATGTGATTTGTTTATTTACTTTTTGTGCAGTAAATGTCCATACAATATGGGCTCGCTTTTCATACTGGACACAGCTGGACACATAATGCTCGCGCCGCGACTTTTTCTAACAAGCACACACCTGTTGCAACGATTCACATCCAAAATTAGTGCTGCAGTTGAACCGGCTGTGCTTGCAGATTTAGAGAAGGCGGCAATAAAGCCGCGTAAGCATCCGGGCATTATAAAACCCAATCATGTCGAGCTGCCCAAGCAGCTGAGCGATACTTTAAAGCGCATTGTGGGTGATCATCCTGTGAGAAAAGTGCTGCGCGACAGTGATCTGCTGAACCGTTACATAAAATCGCGCCATCCGCCGCCAACGCAATCAGAAATTGAAAACAAGAAGCGACTGATTATTGAAGAGGTCAATGGCAAGATGCCGCTAGAACGGTTAGCCACCCTTAGTGAGGAGGAGGCGGCGCGTTGGCAACGCAAGCGTGAACTAGAGATCAACAAGCGTTTGAGTCAGCGCACCTACGCCTGGAAACGCATCGAATATGGTAAATACGAAGCCATTGTTTATGCTGTGGGCAGAGCCGCACAGGAGTATGCGGTACTGAAGCGCGTGCTCACCGAGCTGCAGTTGCGCGATGAACAGTTCAAGCCACGCAGCTACTTCGACTTTGGCTCTGGCGTTGGCACCGGCATGTGGGCGGCCAGTGATCTCTGGCGCGACAGCATCTTTGAGTATTACAATGTCGACAGGTCGCGGGAAATGAACGAATTATCTGAGCTAATACTGCAGGACGGTCAGGAGAATAAGCAAGTTGCGCTGCGCAATGTTTTTTATAGACAATTTTTGCCTGCCATTGATACGAAATATGATTTAGTTATTATTTCGCATACACTATTCGAATTGGCCGACAAGCAGCAGCGCCAGGAGATTCTGTTGAATCTATGGCGCAAGTGTGATGGCTATATGGTCATCGTGGAGGAGGGTACACGACGCGGCAGCGAGCTAGTCAATGAAGCGAGACGCTTTCTACTGCGAGCTGACGTGGAACATGCGGGTCAAACGCTGGCGCCAGTGAGTACCTATACATTTTTTGTTAGGGTGAAACTAATCAATATCTGTTCCAGTGCCCACACGATCTGCGCTGTCCACGACTGCAAGATTTGGCAGATCGCACTCCGTGCAACTTTGAAATATCCTTCGCGCCGCTGCGTCTTAGCAGTGATTCAGCTTCAGATCGTCAAAGTTCGGTGTATAGTTATGCCATTTTAAAGAAAGGTTCCATAACAGATGCCTCCCGACAATGGCCACGCATTGTTCGACCTACTTTGGTGCGTTCGAAACATTCGATTTGTCGCCTCTGCACGGAATCTGGCAATTTGCAGGAAGTCATCTTTACGGCATCAAAGCACGGCAAGTAAGTAGCGACAACTCTTGTATGCAATTTTTTTCTGTTCCTAATCGATCAATAATTTAATCTATTGCAGAGCGGCCTACAGCTGTGCAAGAGTTAGTCGCTGGGGCGACCGCCTGCCCATGGCTTTGGGCACGCCGCAATCGAAGGAAGCTAAAGCCAAATCAGAGCCGGCGGAACAAGCAGAACTGGCATAATTTTAAATATTGTTATATCGTGAATATCATGTTGTTTACGCTACAACCTCTCCCTAATTGATTTGCTTCAAAAACCGAGCAAACAATTTGTTGTTTTAATTATATACAAACAAATCGTTGCGCAGCGTAAATTTTGTTAATTATTTAGTTGCATTTAAATAGCGTTTCATTGATAGTAAATGCTGTTCAAACAGCTAGCGCACCCTCTGCTAAAGTTTAATGGCGAAAACAAAGAGCATAAAAAATATAGAGCGTTACAAAGAGGAGCACCAATGAGCCAAACGACTGGATTTAATCGGTTTTCCATCAGATACATATGTACACGAGTATACAAAAGTAGTTTCCAGCCAATGGTCAGCATTGACAACACGCCCGTTGTTAATATGGGTGTAAGGGGCAGATTTGTACGTATATATAAATGTGCAAATATTTTAAATGGTGAGAAACTCGATAGTAACTGCTCCCAGTTATATATAATCAGAGCATAATTGATTGTATGTATCCGAATTTTCCTAACTTATATTCTTATTTTTGTATATATGTAAATATGTTATTATTTTACTGCCAATTCTTTTATAGAACAGGCCAAAGAAAAATGAATAAACTGAGTGAGGAAAGTAAGATTATGACCAGAAATGAAAGTTTGTTTGCACCTATAATCGAAGTTCTCATTAAATTCATGAGAATCGCATAGGAGGGGTAAAATTCATAAAAAAGGAATAAACTGAGTGAGGAAAGTAAGATTATGACCAGAAATGAGAGTTTATTTAACTGCCAATATAACTTGTTAAAATACTATGCACTTATAATCAAGGTTCTCATTAAATTCATGAGAATCGCATAGGACGGTTACGTTTAAAAATACGTTGTTTTATTTGCAGCGATTAATGAACATAGTCTGCGTTAAGCGTCAGACACAGTAAATCGCAAAAATATGTAATTACCAATATATATTAAAAATCGTTTTTTAATTTGCTGCGCATCGGAGGATTTATCAACTATGTAAAGTGAACTTGATTACCGATTGGTTTAAGAGAACTTACATGCTCTTATACAAATATAATACTGAAAGTGTCTTTATTATTAACTTAAAAAAAAAACAAAAGGTTCAATATCTTTGAAGAGATATTTAAAGAAAATAGTAGAGTTCCATTCATAAATAAGCCACCTACAATTTTTCAAATGGAACGGATATCTCTTATGAGAATTGAGTTTGAAACCCCTTCAAATTTCAATTAACCAAACTAGCTGCTAAAAGTTAAAATGTTAATAAATGTGTGTACGTTCGGGACATCAATGCCAATCCCATTAGACAGTGGGTATGTGGTACACATTGCCAGACTGGCATTTGGCTATGTGTTAATGTGAAACGCGCCCTTTTAGTGGCCGCTCATCCGATCATCCCTAGTCCTGCGCTAGTCCTGCTCCTTGCGTGGCCATTTGGCATAACGCTGCTAGCTAGAAAAAGGGCAAATTGTGGGGCGCGAAAACTGGCACGTCGCTCTTCTCCATGGGTGTGCCAGTATATGGGTACATATGTATATACTGCAAATATGTATGTAGCATGCTTTTAAGGATTGGCTTTATAACAAGGTGTGCTATAGAGCAATGGACTGTGAATACCTAAAAGTGGCATATAAATATTGGTAGAGAATGTCTTTGTAACTTCAAAATGACTCCCTTTGGTACTTTTTGAAAAATATTACTTAAATATTTCTTTTAGTCGAATTTTAGACAAATTTATAGACGCTTCCTTTCTCATACATCAGAGTTCGACAAAGGATTAATAAATGTTGAAGGGAAAATAAGATAAAACATAATATATATATAAAATGTAAAAGCTGTTGTCTTTCTTTTAATTTAAATTACTTTTCCTTTTACTGTTCGCCTTTTGAAGGAATTTTTCAAAATGTGTGAATGTATAAATTTTACTTTTATGAGAAACTGAAAAAAGTAAACGGAGCAGAAAGATCCTTTAAATAAGTTAAAGCACTGGCTTCCCAAGTTTTCTACCCATCTCAATTCTTTGTTCAATCTTTAGATTGGTTATTTAAAAACCCTTTCATAACATTCGTTATAAAAGGTATAAACTGTGAAAAAGATACCCCCTCTTGCTGACTTGATTACATTCTAAGCTCAGTAAGATTATGATAATGATATTATTTTCTACATTTTCTGGAGGACTTATTTAGAAAATTGATCTACAACCAATGCAAAAACAATCCCATCTTAAATGCCACTATTTAAGGCTTTCCCGATCAGTTTCACGGGCTGCATCTGCCACATGAATTTAATTAAGGAATGCATTTGCCAAGTCATTAACCCATTTAGTTAAATATATATAAAATTGATATGACAGGATATACGAATATACGGCTGTCCAATGATAAACGGGTACATTATGTGCTAACCAAGGCCCAAGCCACCCCCGCCCTATGGGAACTGAACAACAAACACACACACACACACACACACACACACACACATATGCACACATACACGCGCCATGTGGCGCCCTGCGAGCCGTGGGCATCTCCCGTTAGGTAGATGCTATTATGTGGGTATACACACGCACACCGACTAGGTGGGGTCAGCTCATTAAAAAGGCGCGTTCAGCTGGTGTCAGCTGTCGCTCTGTCTCTATCTGGCTATTTGTACTAGTAAGGTGCGTCCCACAACAACGACAACAACAACAGCAACAACAACAAGCAAAACGGTGGCGTTTAGAAAGCATGCGCCGCTGTTGCAACATTTGAGTGACCCACCCAGTCAGTCAGTCAGCCAACCAAGTGGCCAGCCGGCATTGTTGTTCCTTTTGTTCCGAGTCTAATTCTAATGTCGACTCCCCTGACCAAAAAAAAAAAAAAAACAAAAAAGGTTTTTATACATAGTCGGGCGCGGACGGGCAGCTAGTTAGTTAGTTAGTTGATCAAGTGGCATTTGGGGAGGCTACCTAGCGGCTGTTGGTGCGGTCTGTGCATCAGTCGAGGCTCGAGCGTTGCCAGGAATAGTTGCGGTTGCCAGTTGAATGCCAGTTGCCAGTTGAATACTGGCTAACAGGAGTTACTTTTTCTGGGGCTATCCCTTGGTCGGCATATTTCATTCGCGCCTGTATCTTGCTGAACCGTTACAATTGAGACATCGAAATCCGGTTGAGCAAAATTTCAGGTGTGTGAGAAATTTGTAGCGGTATCATCATGAAATAAAAGAAAGTGTTCAAAATCGACCTAACCGAGCAAATCGTGAAAAATGATTAACAGGTGAGTATCTATTAGTTAATCTAACAATTTTAGTCACTGGAGAGGATATTGTAGTTTGTTCTTCAATTTTATTTAATATATTTAAAATATTTAACTTCTCCGACTTGTTGAGTTGATATAGCCTATGTTGTTTCCTCATAGCCCCGAATTAATCAAATTGGCTTTCCTTTTAATTCAATCATATAGGCAGTAAATCTTTATTATTTAAAAATTTTGTTTATTGTTATGCAATGTGTAATGCTATACAAACTAAGAATCAATGTTTAATGTTAGTTCTTATATTCCAAATTCTTTTACTCTAACTTAGAAATATTTACCCCTTAGCTGTAGAGATCGTAATTTACGGGCCAATCGGGCCAAGCTTCTTAACAAACTGAATAGAGTAGTATTCAATAGTAGCCTGTCCCAAGTGTTCTTCTTTAACTCAGATTTCCCCCGAAGATTAAGTTCACCCCGCCTGCCTTGATATTGACAATTAAATTAAATTTGAGTGAAAAACAACAGTTTTCCGAATCATTAATTACTAAAATCATCATTAAAATACGAATATAATAAATTTTTATTCAGGACTTTTCAAATAAGCATGAAGCCGTTAGGATCCGATTCGACCCCCATTTATCACTCTAGGGATGAATATAAATTTTTGCAGAAAAAAAAACAATGTTTAAGGTAAATGAAAAAGGAACAAAGAAAAACGTATATTACATCGGGTAACTAAGTACTTCCTAGCTGTAACCGGATGGGAAGTGCGTTAAATAGTCAATTCAGATAAAGAGGGTTAATATCTCCTCTATGTAGAACTGTTTATCCTGACTGTCTCATGGCGTAACTGATTGGTGATCAACGCACATCCCAAACCGCAAGATCTAGGAACCTGACGCGGACGCTAAGGCGAGGGGCTTTGGTCAATTCCACCCGAAAGTGTGGAAAAATCACGGCAAACCGTTGTATGAAATTACTATTTAAAAAAAATACCATACGAATCGCCTCAAACCAATATTTAACGGTTTTTTTGTTCAAATTAAGTGGATGGGTGTTTTACACTTTCCGCAAAATCCATTCCTCCTAGGTTGAGATGGAGGTAACAAATTTGATGGGCTATGTTTTGGATCCGTATTCATGTTAAAGGATCTTTGAGAAAATGCATTTGAGACGTGTTTCACATTTTCCACAGAATCCAAGCTTCCCTGGTGGAAAATCAAATCAAAGATTTTTTGGGAGAAATTTTAATTTTGTCCGATTGCTACTTTTGAAATTCCACCCGCAACTGTGAAAAGTTGGCGGGAAATTTTCAACTTTTTTGAAAACAATTGGATCGTTTTCAAAAATATTTTGTAATATTTTTGTGAAAATTCATCTGGTATGTGTTTCAGTTTTCGCAATATCTACCCCTCGTGGATAAAAATGCGGCTCAAATGTTTAATGAAGGAAAGTTTATTTCTTGGGGTTCAGGATTTTGATCACAAAACTAACATGGGCGGAAACCGTTGATTTTCACTTTTGGTTCTTTATTTTATATACTTTGAACTTACTATCTAATTCACATATATAACACTAAACGTGAAGATTTAAATTGTCTTGCCATGGTAAGGCTGGGTAATACTCGCTAGTATACAAATATATAAAAACTAAACTAAAATAAGCCCCTCAATTATCAAAGAAACCAAATTTAAGGTGTCGTTTTCTATCTGAACTATATGTGACTATATCCCGCCTACAGCTTAAATAGGTGTCTACAAAATGGACTCATTTGGCTAGTATCATAACGGAAAGATAACCGCCCGACAAACGGGCATAGCTACAAACTATATCGAGTGAGAATATAAGTTCATTATAGAGTCAGTATTGCTGGCATCTACCATAGTATAATAACCTTCGCAAGGGATACATGTCAAGTCCGGATGTATTTTTAACACATTTTCGAAATACTTAGGATATGCTAGGATCAAGTGAAATTATTTTGAAAACTTAAAATATTTGTATTAATCCTTAGTTATAATTTAAATAAATTGGTTCTTCGTTTGATGATTATACTATATTTTTTTTTCAGTGTGCAATGTCAGGGTTTTTTTTAATCACGCCATCATTCTTAACATCAAAAAATAGATCATCAAATCGGCACATGTAGAGAACATTTCCAGACAATGCATTAATTGCTATTTGAAATGGCCCAAGACAAATTAAATTCAGAGTTATCAGCTCCATATTACACACACACTTATAAACAAACAGGAAAACAATGTCATATTATTTGTACATATATACCATATAGCATATCGCCTTAGTAGAACACCCACAACTGAGGCTGATGACGACGGCGAGGTCGACGTTGACTTTGACTTCGGGTTCGACTGGAATCAAAAGATGCCGCAAGCATTTGGACTTTGGTTTTGGACGACATCGCAGCGAATGTAAGCTGGACACGATGACCAGTTGTCAATATTTTTACTGTGGTCGAATTCAGTTCGGGCCTTGAGGAACTAAGTATTTGCCTCGAATTTCGTGGTAATTGTGTGATATTTATTGTCGTACATTTTAATCTTATCAATTCATGTGCAGTTCGTTGTTTTAGTCGATATTGAAGCTTATCAAGAAACAGCTATGTAAATTTTTATTTATAGCATTTCATTTCTCGTATTGTGAAACAAATCGATTTCAACGCATTTAATTAACATATTGAATATCCAAAGTCAGGCCTCCTCCTCGTCCTCCTCCTCCTAAATACCCACGATCTAGAAACGGGTGCTCATTGCCCTGCTAATCAGCGCTCCAGACTCGCGGGAACCGGCGATCAACAGTCAGCTCTTAATGACAATTTAATTGTATTTTATTTATTTTCTTTATTCTATTACAAAACTAAAAAAAAAAAATGGGTTTCAATTAGATTTTGTTCAGCACGATTCACAGTAAAATTAAATACAGTCCAAAGTCTAACACACACATATATATATATATATGTATGTAACACAACAATTACGATAATAAATAAGTACACAACTATTATTCTTAAACAATCTAAGCAATGCTTAGCATTTGATATGAGTCACATTTGTTGAATTCTCAAGTATTGAGAGTATGTGGGATGTGGGAAATAGTGAAAGTACTTTGAGATACTATATTTCTACTTAAAGTAGGAAAAGTTCTTATTGAAAGGGAGAACAACTTTATAATATAATACTTAAGAATATTATTTGGGACCACAAGATATATAATATTATTCTATAGTATAAAATTCTTACGTAAAGACTGTTTTTTAAAAAATTCCATACATGTTGATTTTGAGCTTGGAAAACAACACTTTAGATTATAAGTTCAATATTGATAGGAAATTGTTACTCTTTAAGATCTATTTAGACTTTGGGCTGAAACGTTAAAAATATCATAACAAAATACCAGTTTGAAATATATGAGAGTGTAATACAGTCAAGCTTCCTGTAACACGTATATTAGCTTGAACTTTGTGTTTTTCAATTTGCAAGCATTTTTCTATCTGTAAAATATTCGAATCAATTTAAAAACTAGTAGATAGTATACTGATATGACAATTATTTCATAGCTTCCTGTTGACAGTTTCTGATAAGAATTTAACGTTATTTTTTTCTATTCCTAAACTGGTAGTATACATGCATTAAATATATAATTCGATTTAATCATACCATGGCTACATTGATAAGAAAAACACACAAGAAACATAGATTCCTAAGAAAGATTTCACAAATATTGTAAAGAGTTCTTTGGCAGATGCAATAAATATCCCAGAGGGATAACTTTTAAATAATAAAACAACTTTACCTAATACTTATTATAACTCCAGGAAGAAAGAGCTTCGCAATAATAAATATACCATTTCTTTTATACTAGAGTTAATAATGAAATCAACGTGATTCATGAAAGAGCAAAAAAAAACGTTAATACGCAGAGCGAAAGCCTTTGTGAGTGTATTGGAGCATTGTTAAACTGAACGATAATATTGTTCGCATAGAGCGCTCCGTTGTTTAAGTTTGGGCCAGCGAATAGCTAAATGAAGAATCTAGCAACAAAGGCAACAAAATTTTATTACGTAGTGTTACGTACGAGAACTGAAAGAAATAAATTCGATATGTGGACTTCTGACCCGAGAACGAGGCGTTGCCAAGCGATCGAGCGAACTACCAAAAAGTCAATCAGCTGCCTTGGCTGAGCTAAAGGTGTTCGTAGGTGTTTGTGTGAGCTGTTATCAATGAAGGAAAACTACAATATAACAGCCGTGGAACATTAATAGCCGATGTGAACAAAAAGTACGTTAATAAAAGCTAAAGAGCCGAACGGACTTCGTTTCAGCGTTGTGATAAAGCTTGCATTGCACACAGATACACACGCACGTGCACATAGATACACACTCACACACACACCCGCGCACAACAGCTGAGACGCTCGATCGTGTCTTTGTATGAGTCTCAGTCTCCGTCTTCGACTCGGTCTCGGTCTCGGTCTCTGTCTCGGTGTCGGTGTCGGCCTCGCCAACCGGCTGGGGCTGACTCTACTGGAATTGTGAGGGAATCGCCAGCGCTAGCTGGGATTATTATTTGTTTGCTGGCCGCCAGTCGCCGATGTCACATCGAAGACGCTGTTACGCGGTTTGCATAGAGCGCGAAAATATCAAATAAAATAAAGACTGTAAATATCATATAGCCAGCGACGTGCAAAATATCATTTATTAACTGCGATCGTTCAAACACGGGTAAGGCAAATGACGAAACTCTTGTATCTACAAATTAACGCACGACCAGGAACTCTAGTTCTACACTGTGTGAAAAAAGTAATTAAAGTGTAGCCTTACGGCAGAACAACGCCAAAAAAAGTAGTATCATGATGAAGAAACCCAAAAATAAAACAATTTAATTGTTTTGACGAGTATGTGGATCTAATTTTAATTAGGAATGAATAGTGAAACCGAAGTAGACTCGTTTGTGTTTTGGTGATCATTAAAAAGAATGCAAAAAATAAAATAAAATAACATACAATTATTATATAAAAAAAGCAAAAATAAAGTAAATTATAAAATTAAACAGCAAAACAAAGGAGATAAATTAATTAAAAATGAATAATTAACTATTATAAATAAAATTAAAAATTGAGACATTTATATTTTTATATGTAAACATATATACATATTTGCAGCTAGTAATCTTTATGCATGCTCCGCAAAAAAAAAGTGTAACTAGATGTCTAAAAAAGTGTCTTGTAAACAGTTTATAATTATTTCAAAAATGATCCCCGAAATCGAAAATAATAATATACAAAAAGTATTATATAAGTCCAACTATTTGTGAGGCACCTTCTGCATTTATTCTAGACATTGAGTCTTTCGTGTATATTTTTTTTATTTTCTGCAAATAATCTATCTCAAAGATCTTCCAGCTCGTTATAACAATCAATTCATTCTGTTTAATAAACTTAATAATTAGCTGTCAAATCGTAACACTAAGATTAGTTTTGATTACATATTGTTAAAGGTATATTAACCTTTCAGCAATTGCACGTTCAACAGATTTATATTTGAAGCAAATGATTCTTTGAAATATTTGCATTTTAAGAGCAGCTACCATTATTAAATTATCACATTATTAACGCGTATTTAAGAATGTAAAACAAATTAAGATTCAAGATTTGATCAATGCTTCGTGGTTTGCTCTGATTCCCAGCGGAAGCAGCTGTCGTTCTGCTCGTGATTCTGAGCTGCTCTCAAAATTGTGCTGAGGCTCGGGTTTGCCAGATGATGCTCCTGCTCTAGAGCTGCGTTGTGGACTCTCTGAACCGGTTTCCTTCCGAGCAAAGAATGCTAAACATTGTGGCTACGAACAATACATACAACATCATAATCAGATACATAGCACGTACATAGGGCACATGTGCAATGTGTGTATAACATTTCATAATAGTTGATGATATTTGCCGAAAGACACCAAAAAAAAAACTTTGCCTTAAGAAAGTAATCTACTTATTGATACTTTAGCATTAATAATTTACAAAGATTAAATCACGACATTTGCGAGGCTAATTGTGCCGATGTGCGTGACTCTTAGACAGGTTTCCCATTTATCTTCAACTCTCTGGATTACCGAACTATAGTTTTTCGGGTTTCGGAAATTTTTGCATGCAAATAATAAGAGACAACTGCAAACAGAAGACAACAAGTGTCAATCAATATTGAAATTTTGCTGATAAAGACTCAACGTGCACGTCACACACAAATGGCGTAGTTTTAGTCTAGCCCTTCAGTATACATATATATATATACCTAAATAATATATATATATATATATATATGGAAAGGGCATTGACACCGCCTGTGAAACTGTTTTCGTTGCAAGTAGTTCAAGTGCAATGCCCATTAGTGATAGGTAAATAGAAATGATAGATTGACAGATAGAGAGCTTTGGCTTTCTAGGCTCATGTGCTCATCCTTCCTGCGAGTTATCGATTATACACCTTCCATATGTTAGAGGACATTTACATGTAACGCATTCAGATGGAGAGACAGATGATGCGGAGATAAGGTGTCCGTCCGACTGCGGGTTAAAGATGACACATGGCAAATACTTCGTCACAAGGCGACGACGATTGCATCTCTTGTGTGTTTATTTAATACATATATTTACAAACCTACAATAAGCATTTATTAATGTGTGTGCATTGAAACAATGCTTTTGTTGTTTTGATTGATGCCGTTACATATTTAAATATATACTATATATATATATATATATGTATAAGCACAAAAAGATTTTTCTACAATTACAATTCTGCATACTTATTGCTTTGAATTGTGCTTTGCTTCTGCCAGCTGTACCTTGATCTTACGGAATATATTTTCTATTTAATTAATATGCATTTGAATGAAGCTGTTTGTTATTTAAAAAAAAAAAAAACAATTATATATTTTTATGTACTCATATATAAGTGCTGAAAAGTGGAGTAAAATGCGCGCTGCAATTACTTATATAAATATTAAATCTTTTATTGAGGTTGTTTCAGATAATTGCAATTTCTTATATACTCAAATCCGACGTGCATTTAAACAGTTAGCGCGGAATTATAGACTTGAAAATCAACCAGTTGCCAGTAAATCGGTCAGTTAGCTGTTGATATGAGATATGTTAATTAATCACGGCTCAAAACAATGACCCCAGGCTTGGGTTTGAACTTAGGGTCCACAAAGCTTGGTTTAATTCCTAACAGAATTATTAAATTTATCAATAAATTATATTTACGTATAATAACTTTTTGAAATTCAAATTTAATTATTTATATAATTGATTTAATTATTTATATAATACTATACTACCTTATTGGAATTGGAGAATGATCCAAATTTAATTATTTATATAAAGCAAGGATCAATAACCTCAGGCTTGGGTTTGAACTTTGGTTCCCCATAGTTTGGTTTAATTCCTAAAAGAACTATTAAGTTTATCAATAAATTATATTTACGTATACTACCTTATTGAAATTGGAGAATAATTCAAATTTAATTAATTATATAAAGCACAGCTCAAAACAATAACCTTGGGCTTGGGTTTGAACTTTAGTTCCGCAGAGTTTGGTTCAACGCCTAATAGAACTACTAAACTTATCAATAAAATAATATTTACGTATACTACCTTATTAAAATTGGAGAATAATTTAAATTTTATTAATTATATAGAGCACGACTAATTCCTAATTGAACTATTAGATTTGGGTCCGCAAAGTTTGAATTAATTCCCAATAGAGCTATTAAATTTATCAATATATTTTATTAATTTATACTTCCTTATTGAAATTGGAGAATAGTACAAGTTTAGAGAGCTAAAACTATTTTCAAATATGGTTCAGTTCAGACTTAGGCTTAGACTTAGGTTGTTCCCTATCTAACTTATCCAGTTTCAGGTTCGGTTGAAGATAAATAAAATATTTGAACGCCAGGCTAAAGAATAATTTAAAGTAAGGTGTGTAAAAATAGTTGTGGTAGGGCACATGAACACACCCTCTGGCAAATGTTTGTGTAATATCTAAACATAATACGTTAATTCAAATATAAATAATTTTCAACTTTAGTAATTCAATGTCTTGTGCACGTCGTGTTTGTACTTTGATTTGTTAGCTTGACAAACAAACAAAAAATAAATATTATGAATAATTTTGACGTCAACTGCAATCGGCATTTGCGTAATTAAGTGACAAAAACAAATACGCGACTAAATATTAAAATAGAAATATAAACATGCCCCTGCTGAGAAACCCCTTTCGCTGTGGCTTTTGCTCAAGCTCAAGCTCCGGGACACCTGCAGTGGGTGGCACGCGTCGCTTAATTGAAAATTAACAGGTGCAAAGGTAAGAGATTTACAGTAGTCATCCACAATGCTGGACACACATGTGTTGGACCCATGCTCATCGTCACAGCCCGATCAAAGTGCAAAATGGCACGCCGTCAAACCCGTTTGGCTAAGTTGGCAATTTCATTTGCAGCTGCTAGGCTTGCCCCAATAAAATGTGGCACAATTCCATGATGCATGACGCCCGTTGCATCATTTTAAAATCAATCGAGCGTTGGACGAACTAAACGCATCTAAG